TGTAGACACTTTCGTGGATTTTTGGCAAAAAATAGTAGCATGAAATGCTGTGGTGAAATCCTGAGGGCGATGCCTATCCTGGCAAGGGTGTGGACACATCAATGTCTAGTGGGTATGTCTGCGAGTGGGCAGGAATCCCGCGGTGGCAGCTGTGGATAAAAGGGATCCGCTATCACAGCTTATTTCCTCTAAGTTTTCAGTCCTCTCTTACCGTGGGAGGAAACCCGGAATCACAGGGCAATGGGCAGTGTGACAGCCTGTGTACCGCAGAGCAGAGCTTCCCATTCCCAGACACCCAGAGTTCCATTCCACGCCAGGCCTCTGTAATAGCTTTCCTCTGGACCCAAATCTGTAGACAATGCAGAACACCAAGCAATTCTCTAACACCAACTAACTGTCTCACATTTGAATTCTAAAACCACCCAAAGTCACCACAGACCCTGATTGAGGGCTCAGTCCCACAAAACTGTGAGTCCCATCTGTTTGCAGATGCCAGTTACAAATTCCATGGGCCCATCAATGCTTTGGGGCTACTGTTTAAAAATTTGGGACACCTAGTGGCCAGGCTCAGTGGCTCACGCATGTAATCCCAGCACCTTGGGAGGCCGAGGCAGGCGGATCACGAGGTCAAGAGACGGAGGCCATCCTGGCCAACATGGTGAAACGCCGTCTCTACTAAAAATACAAAAATTAGCTGGGTGTGATGGCGCGTGTCTGTAGTCCCAGCTACTCAGGAGGCTGAGGCAGGAGAATCACTTGAACCCAGAAGGCAGACGTTGCAGTGAGCTGAGACAGTGCCACCGCACTCCAGCCTGGCAACAGAGTGAGACTCTGTCTCAAAAAACAAAACAAAACAAAAAAAAACACAAAAATTTGGGATTCCCATAACCTCCCTCAAGTTCAATAATTTGATAGAGAATTATTCTGATCACAGAATTCAGCCAACGCTGGAGTTATGTTTACCAGTTTATTATAAAAGACACAACCCAAGAAAACTCAAATGGAAGAAATGGATAGGACGAAGAAAAGAGGTGGGGAAAGATTAATTACATAGATAATCCTGGTAAATAGCTGTGATTAATAAAATTCTCTAGCCTTTGTGTTCTCCAGAAACAGGGAATGGAAAGAAACACCCTCCCATTATGACTTAGATGGTGTTCTATTTTCTTACCCATCACATAACCGAACACAGACTCCATATTTCCTTTTCTCTTAAAACAAACAAACAAAAAAAACAGCTGAATTGGTCTCAGTAATTAAGAGAAAACACTTCTTAATCAAACTTTACTTATGTGTATCTTTGACGCACAGGCTCAGAACTCTGCGCTACCCTCAGTCTGAGCCAACACACACCATTTTATGTCCCAGATAAGAACACGCTGACTTCAGAGTAAAACATTCTCTGATATAAAATCTAATTTTCCCACCTTCTATTTGCCATCCCCTCTCACCTTCTTCCAAATCTTGTCTGCCTTAACTTTGCAGTCCTTAAAGATCTTGTAGTTGGTACTTTGCCTGTTACAATACTCTTTTGGAATTCAAATTTTTTTTACATAAATTTAACTTTGTTTTATTTTATAAAGTCTAGAAACTACCTTAAAACAATAACAACTTCATCTCCAGTGAGACTCTCCCAATTGCTTTCCATCTTAACCTTAACTGCATCTGCCTGTGGTCCCCAGCTTTCCAGGGCTCTGTAGCTTCTCTCAGTATAAAGCCTTCTTCCGTGACTGGGGTGATAAGGCTGGGACATCTGCAGGGGAGGATCCCCAGAAAGAACTAACTGAGCTTTAATAACCTCCTTTTACAAGTTCCATATTAGCCTTAGCTTGGAGTCACCGGGCTGAAGCTTTAATTTCCATGTCAGAGGTATTCACTTGGTTTTTGAAACTATGTGTTTAAAAAGACCAGCAAAATTACTCAAACACAGTGTTCATATGAGGGAAAGACATTTTAAGGTGTTTACATTTTATACCTCAACAAGAAAAGTAAAAGTATAAATCCCTTTTAGACGATAAACGCATTATAATTTTTATAAAAAATCAGGTAGTAAACAATTAGTCATATGGGAACACTTCTAGGAGGTACCAAGTTTTATCATATAATTAGCATTAAACTTAGAAATCAAGATAACAGGATATAGACCAGAGATATTCACTGTCACAAATGTACTCTGCATAAAGAGAAACTGATGTTTTCACAAATCTAAGTAACTCACCAATTATCTGCCACATATTCTTGCAGAAAAGTATTCATTTTCTACAGCCAAAATTAGAGATTCTTCCTATTTTTTTCCTTGGTAGCATTCTAAAAGCTAAGCCTTGAAATTGTTTGAAATCACCCAGTCATAAAAGACACACCTTAGAAAATTCTTAAACTCACTCTGGGAAAGAAAAAGGTAAATGAGAATTTTTAACAAATGGAATATAAAATCAGATGTTATTTCTCTCCCTGAAACCCACCTTTTTGTAAATTTTTACCTTTCAAGTTTTACTAATAAAATGTAATTTACAGTAAAAAACTGAAGTCAAAAGAAGTGAACAAATCATTTCAAGATAAACCCCTGAAGAGTGGCAGTGCTGATTACAAAACCGATGTGTTTGACTCAGGTGCCAAGTCAGGCCGCAATCACTTGATTCTCCCACCCTATCCTGCTCTCTTAAGTGCTCAATGACCACTTTATTCTGAGACATTATCCCTCAGTTACCGCTCCAGGTGCATTTTAATTTGCAAGTTCTTGCACCATTTCACTGGGTTAAATTTTTTTTTCTTTTTTTTTTGTTTTTCTTTCACAAATCTTAGAGAATAGAAGGCAAAGAAATTATTTCTGTGTTTTCCCCTTGATACCAGCATCTGATTGGCTGACCAGCAATCTGTCTCCAAGTAATGAAAGCTGGGCTGGGTGAAGACAATCTTAATGTCAGAAGGGGTTAGCTTCTTTAAAAAAAAAGAGAAAAAAAAAGTGTGGCCAGCGCTGGGTGGCTTACGCCCGTAATCTCAACACTTCGGGAGGCCGAGGTGGGCAGATCACTTGAGGCCAGGAGTTCAAGGCCAGCCCGGCCAACACTGTGAAACCTTGTCTCTACAAAAAAATACAAAAATTAGTCAGGCGTGTTGCCCTGCGCTTGTAATGCCAGCTACTCAAGAGGCTGAGACAAGAGAACGCTTGAACTTGGAAGGCGAAGGTCGCAGTGAGCCCAGACCTCGCCACTGCACTCTAGCCTGGGCAACAGAATGAGACTCTGTCTCAAAAAAAAAAAAAAAAAAAAAAAAAAAAAGTGCAACAGGATATGCCTCTTAGCCCCACGACATCCACCTGCTCTTTTGAGAAGCTACACTCCATATCTGAGACTGTCCAATGGGAGAAAATTACCCAGGAGCTGACATTCACTAAACAGTCTAGCAGACAAAGCTATTGTTGGTCGCTTGATTTATCCTCAGACAGTACTAAAAGTCAAAACCAGTAAAACACTGAAGAGTGACTGAAGAAACATCACCCCATAAAGTCTGTAAAGAGACACCTTGACCCAAAAACATGCTGTTAAGATCTCTATGCCTAGGGAAGATTTTTTTTTTTTTTTAAAAAGAGGCATGGAGATTTTTTACAATTCGGTGTCTGAGGATAATTCTTTGGTTCTTCTCCCAGGAATTATTTTCAAACAGAAAACAATTTTTCTAAAGTCTTATCCAATGCTTTGTCTAAAAGTGCTTAAAATATGGTATCTAAAATGTACACTAAAAAAGTGTGAATTAGGCCGGGCGCGGTGGCTCACGCCTGTAATCCCAGCACTTTGGGAGGCCGAGGCGGGTGGATCACGAGGTCAAGAGATCGAGACCATCCTGGTCAACATGGTGAAACCCCGTCTCTACTAAAACTACAAGAAATTAGCTGGGCATGGTGGCGCGTGCCTGTAATCCCAGCTACTCAGGAGGCTGAGGCAGGAGAGTTGCCTGAACCTAGGAGGCGGAGGTTGCAGTGAGCCGAGATCGCGCCATTGCACTCCGGCCTGGGTAACAAGAGTGAAACTCTGTCTCAAAAAAAAAAAACAAAAAAAAAAAAAGTGTGAATTAGGTCGAGGATGTTGGCATTTTGGAACGTCAGAAGGAACTGGAAATTTAGTATTTTACTGCAAGCCAGAGTTAGGCTGGAGAAATTGGGTGTGGGGAGCAGTCTTGTGACTCTGCTTGGGATACACGCGAAAAATGCAGGGAAAAATCAGTCCCCTGTGGAGTGTGAAAATAATTGGCAGGCAATTAAACTGAGGTGGCTCCAGTCCCAGGGTCCCCATTTTTTAAAAAATCTAACTCAAATAAGCTTTTTGTAAATTACAACACTGGGAAAAACAAAATTCAGGATTAACCAACCATATACTGCCAATTAACCTGATTACATAACCAGGAAATGTCCACCCAGGTTTTACAAATTAAGAAACTACATAACGGTAACTAATCAATTATTGAGTTTGATTTTTTTCATCACACACCTTATAAAAATCTTTCCTTTACGCTCCTCCCATGGACCACAAACTACAAATCACAGCTGGGTGCTTTATGATTTTTCAATGTTTGATTAAATTCTTTAACATATTCGCGGTGACTTCCATAAATTTTTAATTTAAAAAAAAAGGGCCTGGGAACCCCATGGACCAAAGCTCTTCCCATTCATGAGCCCCGCACCCCGCGTCAGGATTCTCCCCGGACGACCCTCCCGTGGTCCCCGCACAGCCGGGGAGAGATGCGGCGCTGCGGGTGCAGAGCTGCCCGGAGAGGGCTCCAGGCCAGGGCAGAGTCGCTGCGCAGGGAGGAGACAGGACGCCCGGGGTCCGGCTGTCAGCCGCCATCTTATGTCCGAAGGGGACTGAGGGCCGGGCTCGCCCAGGAGAACTCGGGCCGCGGATTTTGGAGCCGACTGCGGGGAGGCCCGAGTCCCGCCAGTCACTTCCGACCAGTTCCAACCAGGCCCTCCCCCTCTCCCGGGATGTCGGACCCGGCAGGCTCACCATTTCTAGGCTTCAGGGGTTCCCGGCGTCTTAGCTGTGCATCTCCCAGTACCTGCGGGTAACCGGGCCACGGAGGCCGGGCCTCCAGGAGCAGAGGACGCAGTACTGAAGAGAAGAGCGGGCGCTCCGGCTGCAGCCGGAGACAAAGGCCCCGCCAAATCCGGAAGCCAGCCTGTCCGCTCCAGCCGCGTGCCTGATTGGACAGTTCCCAGAACAGCATCTCTGATTGGATGACGTTTAAGGACCCGCCCCCACAGGCCCTCCGTGACAGAAGATGCGCTCAGATGCTTTGAATGAAGATCGAGTGAAAGCTAACCAGCAGCCTTTTCAGGCCGGGCTTTCTCCCTGAGCGGAGCCACCTCTATCCCAGAGGGTATTTGCATTTAACCTTGTGTATAAGATCATATGCATTTATATTAAGAAATATAATATTGTGTGAAAAAATAAATTTGGGAGCCCCAAAATCACTAAGCTGTAGGGAAAAGTCAAGCTGGGAACTGCTTAGGGCAAACCTGCCTCCCATTCTATTCAAGGTCACCCCTCTGCTGCTGAGATGATTGCAAATCTGATTGCCTCCTTTTACAAGGCGAATCAGGAACTCAGAAGAATACAACCGTTTGTCTTTTATCTACTTAGGACCTAGAAGGCCCCGCTTCACTTCCAGTTTTCTGGCCTTTCCTGACCAAACAAATAAATGTTCATCTTACATATCTTGATTGATGTCTCTGTCTCCCTAAAATGTGTAAAACCAAGCTGTCCTCTGACCACCTAGAGCACATGTCCTCAGAATTTCCTGAGGCTATGTCGTGAACCTGGGTCCTCAACCTTGGCAAAATAAACTTTTTTCTTCTTTTTTGAGACAGAGTCTCGCTCTTTCACAGGCTGGAGTGCAGTGGCATGACTGCAACCTCTGTCTCCGGGGTACAAGCGATTCTCTTGCCTCAGTCTTCAGAGTAGCTGGCTAACTTTTGTATTTTTAGTAAAGATGGCGTTTCACCATGTTGGCCAGGCTGGTCTCCAGCTCTTAACCTAGGTGATGCACCGGCCTCAGCCTCCCAAAGTGCTGGGATTACAGCAGTGAGCCACTGTGTCCAGCCTCAAAATAAACTTTCTTTTTTTTTTTTTTTTTTTGAGACGGAGTTTCGCTCTTGTTAGCCAGGCTGGAGTGCAATGGCGCGATCTCGGCTCACCGCAACCTCCGCCTCCTGGGTTCAGGCAATTCTCCTGCCTCAGCCTCCTGAGTAGCTGGGATTACAGGCACGCGCCACCATGCCCAGCTAATTTTTTGTATTTTTAGTAGAGATGGGGTTTCACCATGTTGACCAGGATGGTCTCGATCTCTTGACCTCGTGATCCACCCGCCTCGGCCTCCCAAAGTGCTGGGATTACAGGCTTGAGCCACCGCGCCCGGCCTAAAATAAACTTTCTAAATTAATGGAGACCTGTCTCAGATATTTGGAGTTCACAATTATATGGCTATTAAAAAATAAAAATATATAACAATTATTTAACAATTTCAGATTTTATGACCTTTCTAATTTCTGGTCCTTTAAGCAGGCAGCCTGAGATTTTAAAATGGGGGCAATCCTCTGAAATGGAATGTGAGCCACATGTGAATTTTAAATTTTCTAGTAGCCAAACTTAAAAAAAAAAAAAAGATGTAATGTATTATAACAATTAAATTAACAAAATATATTCAAAGTATTATTTTGATATATGAGCAGAATGTAATTATTAATGTTATATAATAATGTATTATTTTGTATTACATATATTTTTGAGGGGAGCCAAATCTTTGAAACTAGCCATATATTTTACTGTTCTAGCATATCGCTGTTCAAACCAGCCACATTCCAGACATTCAGTAGCCACACATGACCAATAGCTTCCACGTTGAAGTGCAGCTCTGAGGTCCAGGGGAGTGAAGAGCCTGAACCTTTTCTACCAGAGATGAGGAAACAGCCTCTCCCTACCAACATCTCTTCAGTTCCAACAGTGGAACAGATAGTGGCCATGGAAAAAGCAGAGGGGAGCAGGAATAAAATAACCACAAGTACAGCACTGTTGGCCCACTGCTTGCCCACATTTCTTCGACAGATTAGACAGCGAACAAAGAATGATGGGGCACAGAAGAAAACTCAGCTCTGTCTTCAGATCTGTCCACAGTCTTGACCTCCAATGTTTAGATATGAAAAAAATAGATTAAAGGCAAATGTATTTTGTTATTTGGCCTTGACCCTAATGGCCAGTCTGTGGTTAGCTGTTTTCTCTTGTGGTTTGGGGGACTGTGTGGGTGTAAGCACCAATCACATGCAGACATGTCTCCATGTATTTCTGCATTATTCAACATTATCTTACAAGACATCCAACTTCAAAGCAGGGGGAAAGTCAGTAACTACAGGGAGGAAAATTTATTCTTTGTGATGTACAGTTCCATAAATTTCACAACTGTTTAGAGTAGCATATTTGTCTCCACAGTACCATGCAGAGCTGTTTAATTGTCCCCAAAATTATCTGATGATTTCCATTCTGAGTTAACTTTTATCCTCAACTATTTTTTGGCAATCAGTGATTAGTCGCCTCCTGCATCTCTCCTTCTCCTCGTCTTCCTCCTTCTCCTCCTCCTCTTCTTCCTTCTTTCTTCTTCTCCTTCCTTCTTCTTCATCCTCCTTCTCCTCATTCTTCTCCTTTTCCTCTTATTTGAGGTTTTGCCGTGTTGCCCAGGCTGGTCTAAATATCCTGGGCTCAAACCATCCTCTCATCTCACCCTCCCAAAGTGCTGATATTAAAGGCATGAACCATCAAGGCTGGCCTGATTATTATCAATTCCAATAATTTTCTTTTTCTACAATGCCATATAATTAGGTCATATAGTATGCAGCCTTTTGGATCTTACTTTGTTCACTGAAAGAAATGCATTTCTCTGTAATCTCAGCACTTTGAAAGGCCAAGATGGGTGGATCACAAGGAAAGAAGACTGAGACCATACTGGCTAACACAGGGAAAGCCGTCTTTACTAAAAATACAAAAATTAGCTGGGCGTAATGGCACATGCCTGCAGTCTCAGCTACTCAGGAGGCTGAGGCAGGAAAATTGCTTGAACCTGGGAGTCGGAGGTTGCAGCGAGTCCAGATTGCCCCACGGCGCTCCATCCTGGGCCACAGGGCGAGAGTCTGTCTCAAAAAAAACATAAAAGCAAAGAAATGCATTTCTGACTGTTACATACTGTGATGTGGTTCAATAGTTTGTTTCTTTTTAGTGACAACTAGAATGATATTGTATGAATGTACCACAGTTTGTTTGTTCACTCGCCTTTTGAAAAGCTTCTGGTTAATTAATTAATTTTTTTTTTTTGAGAGGGAGTCTTGCTGTGTCACCCAGGCTGGAGTGCAGTGGTGTAATCTCGGCTCACTGCAACCTCTGCCTACTGGGTTCAAGTGATTCTCCTGCCTCAGTCTCCCCAGTAGCTGGGATTACAAGTGCCTGCCACCATGCCCAGCTAATTTTTGTATTTTAGTAGAGATGGGTTTCACCACATTGGCCAGGATAGTCACAATCTCTTGACCTCAAGTGATCCACCCACCTCAGCCTCCCAAAGTGCTGGGATTACAGGCATGAGCCACCTCACCCGGCCTTATTTACTTATTTATTTATTTTTGAGATGGTGTTTCACCCTTCTCCCCTAGGCTGAAGTGCGGTGGCTTGATCTTGGCTCACTGCAACCTCCATGTCCCAGGTTCCAGCGATTCTCCCGCCTAGTCTCCCCAGTAGCTGGGATTATAAGTGCCTGCCACCACACCCAGCTAATTTTTGTATTTTTAGTAGAGACGGGGTGCCATCATGTTGGACAGAATGGTCTCGAACTCATGACCTCAGATGATCCACCCCTTTGACCTCTCAAAGTGCTGAGGTTACAGGCATGAGCCACCCTGCCAGGCCAACTTCTGGTTTAAATCTAGCTTTTGAATTACAAATAAAGTGAACAATAAAAATCTACGAAAAAGGTTTTTATTTTTTTTTTCTTGACGCACCTGGCTATTTCTTTCTTTTAAAAAAGTATTAATAAAGGCTGGGCGCGGTGGCTCATGCCTGTAATCCCAGCACTTTGGGAGGCTGAGGCAGGCGGATCACCTGAGGTCGGGAGTTCGAGAGCAGCCTGACCAACATGGTGAAACCCTGTCTCTCTAAAAAAAAAAAAAAAATTTCCATAGAAAAAATCAGCCACGTGTGGTGGCGCATGCCTGTAATCCCACCTATTGAGGAGGCTGAGGCAGGAGAATCACTCGAACCTGGGAGCCGGGG